GGCAGCTGGACCCAAAAGGGACTTTCACTGAAGGAGGGGCGGCGGAAGCAGGCGACGCCTCCGGGATCCTCCCGCCGAAGCCCCCTAGCGGAGGCCGCTTCTGCAGCCAGGCCCGGTTTCCTTTAATTCAATATTTCCCAAACTTGCTTGTTCCCGAGAATCACGTGGGGAGTGTGTTAAAATTACAGATTCCTCGGCAACACCCGCTAACCCACTGAATCAGAATCTCGAAGGGAGGTGCTCCGGAACCTGTGTCTTTAACTAGGGCCCGAGAGGATTCTTATGATCAGGCAAGTTTGGGAAACACAGCTCTAATTCATTGAGGCTGGCGGGAAGGGGGGCGGGGACCGCGCAGTCTCTTTAAGGCGCTTCCAGTTCTTGGCTCCAATCGCAGCTCTGACCCCCTTCGTCGTCTCCTCCCCACTCCTTGTCCTTCCCTCGGTCCAGGCGGCTTTCCCCAGCACTGCGGGGCCGGGGACACAGAGATAACCAAGTCCAGAAATGTCTCTGGGGCTGTGAAATGTCCCCTCGGAGGCCAGGTGCCGAAGAGCGCAGTCAGGAGCTATGATAGAACATCATCTCTGTGGCTGAGCCTGCCCTCTGAGCCAGTCCCACGCTCCCCTTCCACCTCAGGTTCTGCTCCCCCCCCCCCCGCCCCCTCTACCCAATGAAGCCCCAGATCCATTCTGGGACCGGCCTGGACCTTAGACTCCCAAGGCCGCTGGACCTGAAGAGGCACGTCCCTTTGCCCATTTATCGGCATTCCGCAGAAGCTGTGCCTGCTCCTCGCCTCTTCCTCTGGACTCCCAAAGCGGTTTGACTTCTGGCCCAACAGATGCTGAGCAGCTGGGGGAGGGAGGGGAGAGAGGGCGCGGCATCAGGAGAGACCAGGCACAACAAAGCCATGCTTACAGTTGGCACCTCGCCTATGGCTGAGAGAGAGGCCGGAACTACAGGACCACACCACAAGACCCTCAAGCACTAGCAGGTGGGAATTGCGGGGGGAGAGCGGGGGGGGGGGAGAGTAAGGCTGGGTCTGAGAGCTACTGCTGGCAATGGGTAGCAGCACTACCGGTCGCAGGAGAACTGAGCTCAGAACAGGTGTCTCAGATCTTGGGCATGTTGGGGGACGTCGTGGAGGGGCCACAGGTGCTGGACCCAGGGAGGACAGCTCAGGGCTGGCGTCAGGATAGGACTCAGAGGACAAGTATTAACCATTTTTGGAGGATCAGGGGAGAGTGTGTTCTAGGAAGAGTCAGTCCCTGATTCCTGTACGCACCGCTGGGATTGTGGGGCTATACTGCTGGATGATACCCTGGCAGAGTTCTTGGTTAGCATGGGATCTTAAAGATATGTGAGCCCGGCCAGTGTTGCTCAGTGGTTGAGCATCAACCTGGCCCCTTCCTTCAGGCAGGAGGGGTGCTGAGGCTTCCAAGGGTTAGCAGTATGAATTGGTTGTCAGGAATCAGAAGCCCTGAGGATAGGATGCCTGGTTCCCATACAGCTGAGGTCCCCAGAGCTGCCCTGGTGCCTCCCCTTCCTAAGCCAACTCTTGCTTCAATTCCTTGAAGCACCACAGCATCTTTCCAATAAATCCTGCCCTTTGTGGCCTGCAACCAGAGGAACTGCAACTAGTTCAGCCACTGAAGGATTCCTGCTCCTGCTCTTGCTGCTAAAAATGACAAAGGTCATGGAGGGGTGGAGACCAGGAGGTACTCTCATCCCACCTCCACAGAAAAACAGACATCAAAGAGAACTAGATCTCTGTGTACCTGGGACTGTCTACTACTGAAAACACCATGGCAACCCAACTGCCTTACTGATCAACTTCCTGCAGAAGCCCTCTGGTCCAGCCTGCTCTGGAAGGGGGGGGGGGGGGGGGGTTCATTCACTCGACAAGTGTCTATTCAGCTCCAATCCAGAGCCAGGTGTTATACTAGGAGCTGTGGACACAGCACTGAAGGATGCAAACTTGCCCAGTGCCAGAATCAGGACTGGGAAGTATCTAGGTCACCAGCAGACAAGAGGCACCAAAATCAAAAGAATCAAGAAAAAATATCAGAAACAGTTTGATATTCTTTTTAAACAGTTTTCCTCCTTGGAAAAGTTAGAATTTTGTTGTGCTTCTTTACATTCCTTTTCTGATTGCATGTTGCTTTCGCTCTGAATCACATGTAAGGGTGTCAGCATAATCTTTTTTTTCCTTTCTCACTTCCTTTTTATTTTAACTACTAGAGGCCCAGTGCACGGATTCGTGCAATGGTGGGGTCCCTCAGCCTGGCCTGGACCCTCTCACAATCCAGGACCCCTCAGGGGTTGTCGGAGGCCCGGTGCATGAATTCGGCCTGATACCCACAGGCCAGGCCGAGGGACCCCCCCACCAGTGCACGAATCCATGCACCTGGCCTCTAGTATGCATATAAGATCTTTGGTTAATCTCTTC